AGTGCACCTGTGTCATGCAATGCCACGGAGGTCAGAAGAGGGTGTCAGATTTTCCCTGAAACTGAAGTTAAAGATAGTTTGTAGCCGGGGCTGGAGAGATGGCTCAGTGGTTAAGAACACTGACTGTTCTTGCAGGAGATCCAGGTTCGAATCCCAGCACCCACATGGCAGCTAACAACTGTCTGTAACTCCAGTCCCAGGGGATCTGACAGCCTCTTCTGACCTCTGCGGGCATTGCACAACACGGGTGCACTTACCTACATGCAGACAATACACGCATACACATAAAATACAAGTAATAATTTTTTAAAAAAAGTTAAAAAAAAGATAGTTCATAGCCATCATGTGGGTGCTGGGGATTGAAACCTGGTCCTCTGCAAGAGCAGTCAATGCTTTTAACAACTGAACTATCTCTCCCACTGCACAAGACTGGGATTTTAATCTCTAGCAGGGCTGCAGGACATGAGCTAGGCCTCCCTGTGGCTTCCTGAGAAGTGCTGAATTCCAGCAGCCTGCATTATACCAGCACCTTCTATTGAATCTGCTGGCAACACAGGCCTATATGAGCTGCTGGCTGCTCTGTCTGCATAGCAGCAACCACATGGGGATCACCAGAAGGACCTGACCTTCCTCTGGGCTATGTTTGGTTTAAAAAAAAGAAAAAGCCTGCATTCACTGGTCAAGATTCATGAACAACTCCACTGCTATGAGAAACAGAGCCTGGTGCCCATGCTCCATGATGGGGTAGCCTTAGATGATGACCAGGCTGAAGAACTTCAGAACAACCCACGAAATAATGAGATCAGAGAGCTCTTGAACTGTCAAAACCCAGTGTGAAGGCTTTGTTGTTAATATGTGATACAATGGCTCAAAGAATTATATTGCTTGTATTGCCTTCTATGTCTGATGATATTGATTACAAGGAAGACTCCATGAAATTAATCCATCTGGTCAAGAACAGAGAACTGCTGGGTGCCACCATTAAGAAGGATGAGCAGACTGGTACAGTCACTGTGGCCTATATCACAAGAAGAGGAACTGCAGATAGAAGTGGTCTTATTTGTGTGAGTGATGAACTGAGGGACGTGAATGGGATCATAGTGGAAGACAACAGGGCTGAGGAAATAATACAGACTGCGGGTCAGTCTCAAGGAGCAACTGCATTTAACATCATATCCAACATCAAAGAGGAGACTCCTTCTATGGAGGGCAAAATGTTCATCAAAGCCCCCTCCTTTTTTTTTTCTTTTTTTCACTGTAATCCCAATGAGGATAAGGCCGTGGAAAGGGAAACATTCTTTAGATTTTAGCCAGGACAATGGCGACAAGAGCAGCAAAACATGAGTGATGCCCAATACAGAGCAGGCCTGATTCCCTCTATGCATTTCCAGGAAAGAAGATTGTCTCTCTAAAACTGCCAGGAATAATAGTTCAGCTCTTGAAACTTTCCAACAGGAAATCATTTGTCTTCAGGAGAAGTTTCCATCTTAGCAGAAAAGATAAGAAAACACATAAACCTACGTATGAATGTAAAAAGTGATCCATATGACACAGTGGCTGTGCCTACCTATGAAGAAGTGACACCAGATCACTGGCAAACTCATGAGAAATACAGACTTGTCCTGACTGATCCTGTCAGGGTCAGGCTCAATGAGCTGAATCAGAAGCTGTTGATCAGGGTCATGCAGTGTGACAGTGCCCCATATCATGAGAGCAAGAAGGTGATAGGGCAGAATATATTCTTATATCCAAGCCTTTGTTTGAGACAGATGTACAAAACAGCAAGTTCACTGAACATGGTGACTATAAAAGCAACAAACATAGACTCAGATTGGTCCATTTTAGCTAAGAACAAACTTTGTTGGGTGTTCAGCCTCATACAGTGAAGCACGTAAGGACACTACAATTCAAGCTCTATGTGAAATTTATTAATTTGGATTTTTTCTCTTTTTTGACACAGGGTCTCCTTGTAGCCCCAGCTGACCAGAAACTCTCTATGTAGATAAGGTTATCCTCAGTCTCATAGAGACCCAACTGCCTTTGCCTCCTAAGTGCTAGGATCAAAGATGTATGCATATCTGTAATCTCAGCACTTGGGAGGGAGGCAGATCTCTGGAGCTCACTGGCCATCCAGTTTGGCCAATAAGTGAGCTTCAGATTCACTGAGAGATCCTGCCTCAAAAACATTAGATGGAGAATGAATTATAAAGAGAACCAACATTGACTTCTGACACCCTCATGCCTATGCACACACATGGAAGTCTAGAACTACAGAAGCCAAAACAGGATGACTTTTCTCATGGATCTTTAAACATGAAATGAGAGTAGGCAAGAATACCAATTCATGCCACCTCTCTAACTATAAAAATTGAGAGAACTGCAAAGGTGGACTGTTTTCATGAAGCAAGGAGACCTCAAGATGATAATTCCCTCCTATACTGAGGTGCACACTATTAAGCAATAACATTGAAGTCTTCAACAGATGTAAGAAACATTAGATATTAATCTTCTCTTTAAAACTTTGTAAAACTTGAAACTTGGTTTATGACAAGGAATTCTAATCTTTTAATCACACTACATCCTGTAAGATTTTTGTTTAAGGAAAGACCCTGATGCATTCCCTGGCTTGATGACCTGGAGTAGTGGAGCTCTTCTCTCTTCACACCAATTTTTTTAAGACTAGCCAACTGGGAAACACTGTGAGCCAAGCCAATGGGGAAAAGACACAGTTCTCTTGCATTAGAGATAAAAGTCCCCCAAGCTGCTGGGTCCTTTGTGTACTTGCTGGATCTTACTGATCACATAAGTCACCCTTTTGCAAAAGTAAAATCTGCCTTGCCAAGTTACTTTTGCTTTGTTGGTGTGTTCTTTGTGTGGTGTTGATGGGGTCTTTGAACCTCTGATTTTATTTCTAACAGCAGATGTGACACTATCAAATCAAGGAAACAATTATAGTGGAAAGATCAGCAAGATAAATGCGCCTTCACACAGCATGTACTTTACCTCTGTCCAACCTGCACAAACTCAAATCATTTACCTCCTGCTACCTCTAGCACAAAATCTGAAGAGATCAAGATTTTCCTGAACATAATTTTTCATAAAAATATTCATAGTCAGTTCTATCTAGGCATATAAGAAAGAAAAAAAGAATCCTCTAGTTATTTCTGTTTTCAGAATTCATAACATAAGAAAGGGGTGAGAAGCAGGCTTGACAGAAGGTGCTGCCACATGGGGAGTTCCAATTCTACTTCCACAGTGCATTGGCCTCAACCTGAGCAGTTCTCAGCCCTAAGCATTTCTCTCTTAACATCCTACATTGTCTTGACAGCTCATGCCCTGTAAAGGGAGTTGGTTGCTTTTAACAGAAGACTCCTAGAGAAATATCTCATCTCACATAAGTTTGCAGTCACACTTGACCAAATTATTTCTATAATGGTTCCCTCGAATTTGGAGAGTCAGAAAAAAGGATAAAGTATCTCTACTTTTTTCTGGGTTTAGATGGGGCTTCATTTTGTAGTTACAGCTGTCCTAGAATTTATTATCCTCTTGCCTCAGCCTCCTGAGGACTGTGATTATAGTTGTATACCAGAACTCCTGGCTATTTCCCGTTAAACTAGCAAAGAAAACACATGGGACATTTATTCTAAGCAAACCCAAATCTCTTCCCAGGACCACAGGGCAGAGGTCTAGGCTCAAATCAGAAACAAAACAACAACCCTATGATTAGCAACTGTGGACTGACAGATCTGCTGGTGAGTAGGTTCTATAGAGATGCTCACTTCCTCACTGTACTCCATCTCACTTTTAACACTGTGCTCCGATTATAATTCACTGCAGGATGGCAGAATGAAAATCATAATAACTACAACCTTTTTAAAGAAAGAGCATTTTATTTATTTTTATTAAATGTGTACGGGTATATGGGTGTGTAAGTGCACCAGTTTGTGCAATACCCACGGAGGTCAGAAGGGGACGTTGGATCCCCTGGAATTGGAGTTACAGACAGTTGTTAGCAGCCATGTGGGTGCTGGGACTCAAACTCGGGTCCTCTGCAAGAGTAGTCAGTGCTCCTAACCACTGAGCCATTTCTCCAGCCCATAACTAGGATCTTTAAAATTAGTATTAATTTCATTGATTTGGATACCAGATTCTCATCATTTGAGATATAAAGTGTTGCATCATATTTGAATATTTTCTGCCTGTCTATAAAGGGGAAAATACTAAAGAAATTGTTAAGAACTATTGTGATAAGGCACCTTCTTAACCATAGCTATGCTACGTTGAAGTTTAGGCTGACTCTAGTCTCTGAAATCATCAGGCAGTTGGCCCAGATATGGGAACACAAGTCGTCAGGACCCCAGTTGTCTTGGGAACAGGTCAGTGTGTCCGGAGTGCACCTGCTAACTGCAGATTTATGGCTTCTGTAGGTTATGCTTAGCTTGTTTCTGCAAAATAGTAATTGTTGCTTAATAGAATCGAAATTGTTATTCTATTAATAACAATTTTTACCTGTAAGCTTTGGAACTTAAACTTTTCACCCCGGTTATGTTTTCTTTTTGTATAGAAGTCTACCCTAGAAATGGCTCAA